AAAAAAAAAAAAAAAAAAAGAAAGAAATGACAATAAAAATATCAGGATAAGAAAATTTACCGGAATGAATGAAATATGATAACTACTGCAGTTGACATATATACTACACTAAAATGTGACAGATTGCATACTACTACTACTACTATAAATGAAACAAAAAATTAAGAGTAGTTTTATCCTGAAAATAGGGAGTTTGTAATCTCCTCTAGTTTTTATCAAAGCATAAAATAAAAATCAAGAAATACTAGTTCTATTTTGGTCTTAATTAACATTTTTTTAATCTTGGCCAAGTCGCGTAAAAGGTCGTGTAGAACCTATGTAGATACTATATCAGCTCTTTTTAAAAATAATATTTTATTGAAGAAAAAAAAGTGTGACAGTGTTAAAGAAATTTTGCAAAAACAAATTTTCCACCCTTCTGTGCTAAGGTATTTAATTATGCTCTTCAAATCTTGGTCCATAGACTCCCAAGTTCATTTGAGATTTTCGGTCATTATAAATGTATACTTGAGAGCTTTTCTTTCAAATCCTTTCCTAAGATGATGTTTATAAGGAGCTTTTAACACTTTAGAATATATTGAGACATATTCAATATGTAGAATGTGTATTTGATTAATATATTACTAAGTTATAATAAACAAAATTATGAACTAAACAGAATTTACTAAACTAAATTATAAGAAATATAAATTTGTGAACTAGTTAAAAGATTAATACTGTATGTGTATATGGCACCATTGGTTAACTCCTTTTTTATTTTATTAAGTTTTTAATTTTAATTCTGGCATAGTTAACATATAGTGTCACGTTAGTTTTAGGTGTACAATATAGTGATTCAACAATTCTTTACATTATCCAGTGCTCATTATGATAAGTGTACTCTTTAATCCCATCACCTATTTCACCCATCCCCTCCACCCTCTCCACACAACTCTGGTAACCATCAATTGTTCTCTATAGTTAAGAGTCTCTTTCTTGGTTTATCTCTCTTTCTTTCCCCCTTCATTCATTTGTTTCTTAAATTCTACTTGTGCATGAAATCATATGGTATTTGTCTTTCTCTAACTCATTTCACTTAGCATTATACTCTCTAGTTCCCTCCATGTTGTTGCAAATGGAAACATTTCTCATTCTTTTTAATGGCTGAGTAATATTGCATTGTGTGTGTGTGTGTGTCTGTGTGTGTGTATGTATGCATATGCATGCTACATAGTCTTCATTCATCTACTGACGGGTGCTTGGGCTGCTTCCATATTATGGCTATTGTAAATAATGCTCCTGTAAACAGAGGGGTGCATATATGGTTTCAAATTCATGTTTTTGTATTCTTTGGGTAAATACTCAGTAGTGTGATTACTGGATCATAAGGTAGTTCTATTTTTCATTTTTTGAGGAACCTCCATACTGTTTTCCATAGTGACTGCACCAGTTTGCATTCCCACCAATAGTGCACAAGAGGGTTCCTTTTTCTCCACATCCTTGTTAATACTTGTTTCTTGTGGCTTTGATTTTAGCCATTCTGACAGGTGTGAGGTGATATGTTATTATAGTTTTGGTTTGCATTTCCCTGATGATGAATGATATTGAGTGTGTCTTTTGGCCATCTGGATGTCTTCTTTGGAGAAATGTCTGTTCATATCTTCTGCCTATTTTTTAACTGGATTATTTGTGGGGTTTTTTGGTATTGAGTTGTATCAGTTCTTTATATATTTTGGATGCTAACCCTTTATCGGATATGTCATTTGCAAATATCTTCTCCCATTCAGTAGGCTTTTAGTTGGGTTTATTGTTTACTTTGCTCTGCACAAGTTTTTATTTCAACGTAGTCCCAATAGTTTACTTTTGCTTTATTTCCCTTGTCTCAGGAGAAATATCTAGAAAGATGTTGCCACTACCAATTCCAGAGAAATTGGTCTCTTCTAGGATCTGTATGATTTTAGGTCTCACATGTAGGTCCTTAATCCATTTTGAGTTTATTTTCATGTATGGTATAAGAAAGTGGTCTAGTTGCATTCTTTTGCATGTAGCTGTCTGATTTTCTCAACACCATTTGTTGAAGAGACTTTTTCCCATTGCATATTCTTGCCTCTTTTGTCAAAGAATAATTGACCGTATAATTGTGGGTTTGTTTCTGGGCTTTCTATCCTGTTCATTGATATATGTGTCTGTTTTTGTGCCAGTACCATACTGCTTTGATTACTATAGCTTTGTAGTATAACTTAAAATCTGGGATTGTGATACCTCCAGTTTTGTTTTTTCTTCTTCAAGGTTGTTTTGGTGGTTAACTCTTGCTTATCCAAGGGTTTGCATTTTGGTATTCTCCCAACTAAATGTTATTTTTTATAATGAACCAGATAAAATATTTTAAAGATTGAATTGAAAAGATGATAAAAATTGAAGCTCAGAATCAATTTTTTTCTTGTAACTTCTTAGCATCATTTGTAATGACAGAGAAAATAAATAAAATGAAGTGTGAAAATTGCACTTCTTTATTTTTACCCATTAATTAAATAATAGAGTTACTGTTGCACAGTTTTCTCTGTACCAGTCCTTAACATTTTCTGTAGAAGTCTGGTATATCTTAAGTTTGGTCACCATGCACAAATGGAACTTTAATTGTGCTTTCTAAGGATATCGTCTAATTTTTTATCTGTTGGTCTAGACTTTTTTCTTTGCTAACAAATGCTTAAATTTTACCTTTTCAGGAATGGGATATGGAGATAGAACAAGCACATTTTGTGGCACTCCTGAATTTCTTGCCCCAGAAGTGTTAACAGAAACATCCTATACAAGGGCTGTAGACTGGTGGGGCCTTGGTGTTCTTATATATGAGATGCTCGTTGGTGAGGTAAGCAGTATAAAATAGATGAGAGAGAAATTAGAAAAGAACAAAATATGTCATTTAGAAATGACTTAATATGTTTCCTGCATAAGTGGAGCTTAAGTTACACATACTTATACACATTTATAATATACTAGTAATTGCCTGAAATTCTATATTACCTTCACTGTGTTTTTTAGGTTTTTATATTATCTATAGAACTTTGAAAATCATACCTTATAGGGGTGCCTGGGTGGTGCAGTCGGTTAAGCGTCCGACTTCAGCCAGGTCACGATCTCGCGGTCCGTGAGTTCGAGCCCCGCGTCAGGCTCTGGGCTGATGACTCGGAGCCTGCAGCCTGTTTCCGATTCTGTGTCTCCCTCTCTCTCTGCCCCTCCCCCGTTCATGCTCTGTTTCTCTCTGTCCCAAAAAAATAAATAAAAAACGTTGAAAAAAAGAAAATCATACCTTATATTTCAGTATGCTGTAGTTATTTATGTTTTATGAATTTAAGACATGGTCATATATAATTGATCATTTCATAGGGAATAACAGAAAGACTAATGAAAAGAATGTACTCTATACCTGTGACAAAAAGTCAGTTATACATTGGTCAAAATAAATGCATTGGTCAAAATAAATTGGACTTGGGAAAGGGTAAATATTTAGACAAGTAACTGAAAACTGCTTACAGTTTGATCTTGGGATGATCTTGGGATGAAAAAAAAATGAGTTTGGTTCACTGTTTTGCAGTTTTCCCAGTACCAAAAACCTTCCTTGTACATTCTAGGCATGAATAAATTAGTAGCTGAATAAATGATTGACCAAATTATTGAATGTCAGAAATGTCTAAAGTTTTTACCCTGTATTATCATATAATGGCACTTATTTCATATAAATAAAGTATTTTAGTCCATCCAAATGACAGCCACTTTGGTATGTTATATTGGAGTGGATATTTAGGAAAGGAGGAAAAGAAGTAGCTAATTAAAATGTTTACCATGTGCCGGGCACTATCCTATTTGCTTTATAAATATTAGCTCATTTAATTTTTCAGCAGCCTTTAATGAGCTCAGTACTAGTCTTAGGCCCATTTTCAGGTGTATAAGTGGAAACACAAAGAAGTTAATAACTTGCTTAAAGTCACAGAGTTCTCATGTGATGGAGCTGCAATTCTTAACTCTGGCTCTCTGGTTTCCTATCCCTAAACCATTATGCTGTTACCTTGGGGTATGGAATCCACCTAACCTTATTTCTATTCTTAAGACCAGTGATTTAGTAAAATTTCTACCTCTATCTAGAAAAGCTGCTATACAGTGTTTTAAGATGGAAAGATGTATTTTATCCCTAATCCACAGTGGTCTTTGCTTTCTAAGAATGCCAGAAGTACTCATAATAAAAAAAAAGAAGAAGAAGAAGAAGAAGTACTCATAATAGTTGTTTCTGTAAGCTCTGACCTACTTGAACTTCCCCCCACCCCACACCTTTTTTCAAAGTAATAGTTTTGTTGCTTTGGGTTTTTTTAATGTATTCATTTATGTATGAGAGTTAATTAGGTTACCAAAAATTACATGCTTGCTTAAAATTGACTCTCCATATTAGCTCTGACAGGCAAAAAATGTGAATTTGTTGCAGAATACTACAGAATTAAGATCCAGTTGATTCTGCTTCCTCTTCTACAGTGACAGGAAAACTTGGCAATGAGCAAATGAAGAAGCTCCTGTTCTGTATTTTTAAAAAGAGCTTCTAATTGATTAACCTGTTAATTACTAGGATATAAAAGACAGTGGATCCAGCTATTCCTTCACAATTGTTTATTGCAGTTTCCTTTCTCTTTAGCACCTTTGTAAGAGGGTAGTTGGGAAAAGAACTAAACTTAAAACTCATCAGTAGTTGATAGTTTTAAATTTACCAGTTTAACATTGGTAAAATTTTAGCAATAACTTTTAACTGCGATAAAAGTCAGGTTTGGCTGAAGTTTATGTCTAATTACTCTATTATTACAAAGATTTGAAAATTCACTGGATATATCATGCATTTTCAAATGTGTATTTGTGTTTGTATGGGTTTTGAGGACTGGAAGGACCAGATCCCCCTTCCTGGTGCCAAATGAGAATTGAAGCATCAGAGAAATTTTAAGTAAACTTAGATATTAGAGTTGCACTCTTGACATCTGAACAGACTATTGAATTCTTTTTATATCTGTTTAAAACATACTTGTTAGCATTCCATTGTTCATCCTGTTAATTTATAATCTATTTGCAGAAACAAGGAACTTTAACATCTTAATGAATATGTGGGTATATCGTCACTCTTCGGGGATTTATAAAGTGACATTTTTTAAATATAAAATTGATCAAATAGACAAAAGTGTTTTGTATTACCACTTGAAATTCTGATTGAGAATTCTTGTGAAAAGGAATTTTTCTCTATTTTGCTGCTATCTCAATCCCAGAAAGAAATGATATTATCTCACATAGTAGTTACTTCATTTATCTATTTGATTTATTCACTTTGAGTGCGTAAATGAACAAACTAAGGTTTCAGTAAATGAAAGTGTGAAATTTCCTTACATATGAGCAATAAGATTGGCAGCTCAGCTTTAGGAGGTTGGGTTCTAAATTCATTTTCATAGATTCCTCAAGTCAAAGATTCTTCCCTTTCCATTGATACTGCTTTCTGCTTGGCTCTTATTCATTAATACTTTACAGGAAACAAGCAACCAAATCTAAGTCATCTCAAATTCTGAAATAGTAAGTCATATTTCATAATAACATTTCAATATATTTGAGAGTTATCATTTTGTGCATCAAATTGTTATACTGAATGTAATTTAAATATGTTTTTATGACTTAGGGTCATTCCTGTCAATATGAGCAACATTTTAATAATACTCTGCTAACTGAAATGCCCCTAAGACTTGAGTTTTGTTGGCAGCTGCTACTTAGTGCCGTCATTATGCCTGCAGATCTCTAATTGTGTTTTGCTAATTAATTTGCTATTGACTGTGAAATTCAAAGTACATCCATATCAGATGTACAACTCAGATGTACAAACTCTGAGCTTCTCTGTATGGTGACACTTATTACCATATTTACTTTACCCATTTTTTTCTGTCTTTCCACAAGATTGAGCTTCTTGAGAAATGTTGATTATCTAAATAATTTTTACTATCTAGTATGCACTCAAAATATTGACTGTCTGGCCAGATAAATGAAAAAGTGAATTAAATAAAATAGAATGGAATTAAATTAAGTGAAAAAATGATATTGTATAATATAACAAAATTTGTTATTAAAATCTGTGAAATAAAGATGAAGATTTCAATAAGAGTATATGGTATATCCTCTGTATAATAGATCTGTTGTGTATCTTTTGTGGCTTCTCACAGTCTTTTCTTGTTTGGTGTTTTGGTAAGTTTTTTGTTTGTTTTCCTCACTACTTGGTTCTTGTCTGTACTTTGGATGGGTGATAAGATTTTACAGTATTGAAATTCATTTTGACTTACTCAGAGATTTTTTTTCTAGTCTCCCTTTCCTGGTGATGATGAAGAGGAAGTTTTTGACAGTATTGTAAATGATGAAGTAAGGTATCCAAGGTTCTTATCTACAGAAGCCATATCAATAATGAGAAGGGTAAGAGCTAATAGTTTATAAACTGGTTAAATTTCTTTTATTGAAGGACATTTCCCAGTTGGAACTTTATCTTTTTTTTATTTTTATTTTTTTTCTTTTTATGGCAGAAAAGGCCTTTATTGTTTGCAACGGGAAATTAAAGAGGAGGGGGACACGACATCTCTGGCTCCAGGGGTGGCTCCCCAGACTTAACTCTTCACCCTCCCGGGAGAACCCAATTAGAACTTTAGAAGTTGTTTTTTAGTTCATAGATGTTGCATGGTTTAGACAAACACATACCAAAAAAAAATCTAAATCTTTGCAAGTTATGAGAATCTTTATCAACGAAGTCACTGGTTTTATTTTAACTTTTATATTTTATATTGTGTTAGCTATTACGAAGAAATCCTGAGCGGCGACTTGGAGCTGGTGAGAAAGATGCAGAGGATGTAAAAAAGCACCCATTTTTCCGGGTAAGTGTGACAGTTTAAAATTTTTTGTGAAAATAGAAATTAAGTGTAGGAAACTAAACTGGTCATTTTATATTTTGTAATCCAGCTAATTGATTGGAGTGCTCTGATGGACAAAAAAGTAAAGCCACCATTCGTACCTACCATTAGAGGACGAGAAGATGTTAGTAATTTTGATGATGAATTTACCTCAGAAGCACCTATTTTGACTCCGCCTCGAGAACCAAGGATACTGTCAGAAGAGGAGCAAGAAATGTTCAGAGATTTTGACTACATTGCTGATTGGTGTTAAGTTCCTAGACACTGTGAAACCAAGCAAACTAACTCACAAGAAGACCTCTTAACAATAGCAACCCTTCATTTGCTCTCTGTGCCACCAGTAGCTTCTGAGTTTTTTGTTTAAACACATGAAGATTTCTTTAAAAGTACTATTGTAAAATCTTCTTGAAAGTGGCTTCTTTTAATGTATTTTCAACGTAAATCTGAGCACTGGAAACAGTTTCATGGAGTTTAAGCGGAATGAACATCGGCCATGAAAACCTATCACAAGTGAATACTTTTGGATCAATAGTCTATTTAAAAAAAAAAAACAAAAAAAAAACCAAAAACCACTCTTCCACGGTCCCTCGCTATGCCTTATGCCTGCCTTAAGTGGAAGGAAGATTAATCATTTCACTTCAATTAGCTCTATTTTACAAAAAGAACAAAAAGGGTTTGGGATGCTATTACTGTTCACACATAGTAAATCTGTTCGAATAAGGCAAATGCTCTTATTTTTTTAATGAAATTACTATAATATCAAAAAAAAATGTAGTGGTAGTTTGTGCACATTTTTTGGCTTCTTTTTTTAAAAAAAATGAATTGATGTCTTGTTTTATAAATTTTCTATATTTATTAGGAGAAAATTTTTATCGCCTTATCTTTACCAACCATGTAACAGAGCCTCATAGCTTTCCAACAGAGCTACTTGCCAAACAATTTTTTGTTTATTAAACCATGCTGAAGCAAACAGGAACAACTAAACATCAGCATTTACTTAAAATTTTAAGAATGAGGACTTCTGATTAGCCTGAACCAAGATACTGTATTACCTGTATGCATTCCCAAAGTCTAGACACTCGATATATTCAATCATACCTTCTTCCAAAATCAGTGGACTAATTACTCCTTTTTTGATATTCGTTGTACATTTTTCAGCCCAGTTTATCTTTTTCTTGTATCTACTGTAGAAGGGAACTATATCTGTTAAAACATAGGGATTATCGTTGTATACATGCTGTGAACATGTATATTTGCAAGTTGTAATGTATTCTATGTTGTAGGTTTATTATTTAATTTCACCACTTCATCACTTTTGTACAGTGGCCAAGCAGACACCTCAAACTCCAGCATTTACGTTAAGTGCATTTGTACATTTTAGGCCACTGGATCCAGATTTTATATTGGCAGTTACTGAGGGCAAAAGCAATATATTGTAACAGAATGTATAAATATTTTTGATAAAACAGTCTATATTTTATAAAATTATTATAACACTAAAGCTGTACCTCAAAAGTCTCTGAAATAATTTGATCAAATACTTTTTACAACTCTTCAGAGGATCCATTTGTGGCTTTTTTTAATGCTCTTAGAGGAAAGTCTTTTGGCAAGCCATGACTTTTCCACTTGCCTGGAGTTTTTTGGTTTTTTTGTTGTTGTTGTTAGTTTTTTCATCCTTTTCCTCTCGTGTATGACTGCATTATTTTTCTTTAGTTCAATAATAACATCTTTAATTCTGTGCTTAGCATGTTAGGGTCATCATATCTCAGGAATAACAAGTTGTGAACTAACCATACTGAATTAGCCATTTAATCACAGTGATCTCATGTCTTAAAAATTGTTCAAATTTAAATTCTATGAGAAACATAAAAGCACATCGATTTGTAGAAAGTTTATCAATACTTCAGCCTTGCTAGGGTGTGCTGGCATGTTTTTGTATACTCTGAGAACAGTTACAATTTTTCCAAGAATTCTTATTTCCTTCCAATTCTATTATTACCCAAGATTCTTTGGGGGAAAATCTTATAGAAAGAGGGAGCAATAAGTTGTTTAAAGTTATTTTAAAATGCCAGTTAATTTCCTTGTTAAAGGACAGGAGGGGATCTTAGCTTAATTGTCTGGCTTTAATTTACACAGTGTTAACACATAAAAAAAAAAAAAA